TTTTTTTTTTTTTTTTTTTTTTTTTTTTTTTTTTTAAAAAAAAAGTATTATTAATTTTATAGGCGAAAGTCCTTACAGCGGAAAGAATTCAAAGCTCAAGCCCCAAACTGCAGAGTGCCTTTGGACGCGTGCGAGTTTAAAATGTAGGTGGAAGATTTGTGCTCTGCACTCTGTATTTCACGTGGACACCTCTGCCTGGGAAAAAAATAAACCCGAGAGCATCTAGAGCTAAAGCTGGGCCTTAGGAAACCAGGCAACCCCCAGCACAAAAGGACAAATCCCTCAAGAGCAAAGGGCTGATTCTGCGCCTCCTGCAGCCAACTTCCAACTTTAAAAGTCCCTTTAACTTACAGGAGATAATGCTGCAAGGATACTTGCTCAGGAAAACCACCAACAGCAAAAAAAAAACCCGCACAAGGAAAAAACAAACAAACAGCTCCCCCCCACTCCCCCCCCAAAAAAAGCCCAACCCGAAGTACTTACAAATGAAGATGAATAAATTCAGGAGGTTGAGAAAAGCGAGACCTGCCCTGAATTTTGGGGGAGAAGCGTTTCCCAGTGAAACGTATGCTTGGGGATTTCTGGATGATTCTGACTTGCTATGCCAGAACAAAGCTGGATGCTAAATATTTTGAGATACCTGCTGAGGTCTGAGAAAGCCGTCTCCACACTGAACCCCGAGAGACTTACAGAAACTTTTTAATGAGCCTGAGAATTTCTCCACCGTAAAAAAAGGAGCACAACAGAGTGAGAGATCATTTCTGACGTAATGATCTCAAGCTATCCGGGATGGCAGATCTTTTGATTAAGCAAACAATAATAAATACAAACACTTTTGAGACGAAAACACTGGGCATACACTAGCCAATGTTTGTTAAATACGGCTTCTGGCTGTACAGGAGATTATTGTCAGCAGAAGCGCGTGATGATTTTTATTAGTGTGGGCAACGACGTATTAAAATACAGTTCTGTGGCAGTGGAATTTCGAGGGGATGATTTTAAGGGGAAAAGAAAGGAAAAGGCAGGCAAAGGGCGGGCGATGGGGAGCAGGTACCCTGCGCCGGCAGCAGTTTCCCACAGTATTTCAGCCTGGCTGCAGAGAGGCTGCCCCAGCCCGGGCTACCTTCCCCACCGAGCTGCACCGCCGTCACCTTTCCCACCACCCCGCCAGGCTGACAAACTTCAAAGGCCGGGCGGGAAAAAAAAAAAAAAAAAAAAAAAAAAAAAAAAAAAAAAAAAAAAAAAAAAAAAAAAAAGTTCCGCTAGCAACATGGTATCATAAAATCAGAAACTGGCCAACGTAGGGTAAAATATTCACTTTTCAAAATAAATTCCCCGTGCAAAAGAGCCAAATCCCGTGTCTCCAAAGTGCCACGGCAATTTTACAGTAAACCAAGTCTAATGCAAACCAGATTTATACTGAAACAGGAAACAAACAATTCTTCTGCACAATTTCCTGTAGATCAATTGGAAAGGTATTTAAAGACTGCACCAGCCATTAGATCTTTTGTTAACCCCCCCAGCCCTGCCCACAAAAAAGCAGCTCATAATATACACTATTATAAGATGTCAACACCCGACCATCGTTTTCCATGTCTACCATCAATCTATAACCAAAGAAAATAAAATTCTATTTATAATTTCTTTTTGAGAAAAGAAAAACAAAAAACAAACCACCATAATAATTTCCAAACTGGCACAGATGAAGAGGTGAAGTTCACTTGTGATCAGCATATGCAAAGCATATTTAAAACTAAGATTCAACTTAACATCCTGCAAGAATACTCAAGCTTTAATAATTCCTCAAATATTTCTGCAAAATTCCAGCTTTGCAAAGACGAGGCCACTCATATTTCCACCACGTACAACGGGAAGAAAGCGATCGGACCTGCCAAGCATAAATTTTAATTCAATAGCAAGGTATCCTGACCCTTAAAACCAGAGCTCCAGTTATTTCTGCAAACTTCGAGATGCAGAATAAATCTGGTTTATCTCCCTTCCCTTCCTCCAGAAGGTAAAACACAAACCCACCGATTGTGTCAGAATGTGTGTGTGTAGGTTTAGGTATACAGCTGTAATTTCCAGGATTTTGTTTTCTTGTTATCAGTAGGGAGCCTGCAAGCTTCTACTAATTTAGGATATAAACACCACAGCCCTTCCGTAAACCCCACAAGTATTGGGAAAGTCTCCGAGATATTCTGGCTTCTACTCCCAATCCTGCAATCGGGAGCATTTCTATATGCACACATCCATCCATCCATCCATCCATCCACATATGGATTTCAGATCACGCAGCCCGAGCTACCCGTATGTGGATGCAATCTGACGAAGGAGTTGTAAATTTAGCCTTCCTGCGTTACAAAAATCTATCCCTACGCTTCGGAAATAGTTTAAAGTACCTTGTAACTTTTGCTAATAAATACGGTTTTTATGATCTGCGTGTCAGTGCTCCAATATTCCCAGCGAACGAAAACGCTGACATTTCTTTAAACAAAGATGAACCATAAACATCACGCTGAATTACTGCCGGTTCAGCCAAGAGGGTGCAAGTACAAGGGTCTCTCAGTTCGATTTGGGGATTTTCTTCCTCCTCGGGCTCAACAAGAAAACTTTCTCCGCGCCGTTCCCAGAGCGACGCCAGCCTCGTGCCATTCACAACTCCTCACTTGTCATTATTAAGCGTGGTACATGGAATTATTACACTCTTTGGCCTAGCCTATTAGCAGGAATGATACCATGGAGCATTCATCTTCATCTAGGAACTTTATGGAGTTGAAAAGCTTTATAATAAGAATAGCAGACAGAATGTAAACAGGAAAAACTCATTAGCATTTACTTTTTGTGATTTGATGACTTGACAAATAACTATTTCAAAACAACTAGTTTGAGAGATGGGTTGAAGCTTGTTAGGATAAAGCAAAAAGAGCAATTACAATAATTATAGGTTTCCCTATATGATTTAACACATGCGCATGGTGGGAGCTGATGATGGGATCTTAAGATACCATTAAAAGAAAATTTTGCCACTTTTGTTTTTCATTTCCATGTGCCATCATTTCTGCTTTATAGTTCCATGCATTTCAATATATTGCCTATGACCAAATAATCCTTTATTAAAATCTCAGGGAGATGCAGTGGAAAAGAAACAATTTGGAAAAAGCAGATTTCGACAGCGATCCTGCAGCCAACCCCTTTCCAGGTGATGTGCATAACCTAAACTATGACAGACATCTCGGGGAACAAGAAGCAAGGCTTCGGGGGAAAAAAACGCCTCTTGTTGTTCCACTGCTTCCAACCTAATCCAAGTGTTAATCCAGTTAATCACTGATAACAGCGCGCGCGCTTCTAAACTCCTTTGCTAAAACGTCTTTTTTTTATCGTATTTTAGGGGAAAAAAGGTGACTCAAGAGCCCAACACTGACGTATTACCCCATCAGCGTAATCACCCAGCACTAGCTCAGCTGCACACTTGGGTTTGACACTGGCAGGTTTGCTACTGCTTTCAGATTTTTCTAAACCAAACATCCTCTATCGCACGAGATGTGAAGGAAAAGATTTCTTACCGACGAACATCAGTAAATAGTTAAAAGGCAAAAAGTGCTCTCCCAAAGAGTAAGCTCTCCTAAAACGCCCTGTGAGCAAGAGGAAAGGAGAAGGAAAAAAAAAAAAAAAAAGCAAAAAAAAAAGCAAGTTGCAGAAAACATGTTCTGCAAAGCTTGCGTTTCTGGCAGTTGAAATTTTTTTTCCAGCCATTTTTTGTGACTCCTGTACCCACTGCACTCCTCTTCCCACAGCAACTTCGATTCAGAGGGCTTTGGAATGATTTTGCATTTTTTTCTTCTTTTGTTTATTCCCAGGGAAGACCTGCTTCCGCTGCCTGCTCGCAGTTCAGAGAGTTCAAACCGAATTTAAACAAGTAATTGACTTGTCACTGGGAAGG